CCTCTCCTCTCCTCTCCTCTCCTCTCCTCTCCTCTCCTCTCCTTTCCCTTTCTTTTCTTTTTTCTATTTTTACAGGGATTCTGCAGACCAAATTTATGTCCTCGGGGATAACAGCAAGCACTGTTACTATGTCTCCAGTCCATTCACTGGTGATTTCTTATTTGGATCTTTAAGAGTCTTATGTGTATTATACATAAATGTTATTTGGACCTGACCTTGTCTGGTTAATGATATGAAAGGATGGGGAAGATCTTAAGTGGACCCTAAGCCTTGAGTTCTTTGGGGGAGAAAAACAAAACAACATTGGCAGACAAAACTCAGACTACGAAAAAGCTTCTTACACTTAATTAGTTTTCAGTAGCTGAAAAGAATCTCTGTTGGGGTATTAGAGAATTTGATGTAAGTCATTAACTGGTCAGCAAAAGACTCACTGTCATCTAAAAGATTATGAAAGTGTTGCTAGAATGTCAGACAAGATGGCCTAAGGTTTATTTCAACCTTAAAATATCCATGAACTTAAACATAACTAAAGAATATACAATTTTATTGTGTGATATTCACAGTATATCATTAACTCTAAAAAGTTTGGAGATTATTATCTAAGTAGATGAGTTATGGAGTAAAGATGATTATTAATGATGATTTGCTCTTTTTGAATATATTTGAGGAACATATATGTGTATATATATGTATACCTATACATATATATGTATGTATAATTTTTAGTAAAAAGTTAAAAGGTTAAAAGTGTTATGATTTATGCTCTTTTACACAAAGATGCAAGAGGCCCCATGACTGGGAAGCTAAAGATGGACCTTGCACTGCCAGCATCAAACTTTCACATATTAAAGCTTGTCTGGTCCTGTTCAGTTATATATTAGATGCTGTCTTAATGCTACTATTCATTCATTCCCACATCTTTATTCATCTAAATGGCTTTCTTTACATCTACTCATTTATCGATAGGTCCATAAATGGTGACTTACTCCCTTTAGAGCTATAGATAGTTTCCTTACATTGTCATAGATGTTTAAGTGTAAAATTGTTAAAAAATCATTTTGATATAGAGTGCTTTAAAATATTTAACTTACAGATTAATAGATGTTTATTCCCCCATCAGATAAAAATATTTATCTTATAGAACACCATAAATATTTTTGTTGATGTTCTGTTTATATCCATTTCTAAATGAAATATCTATGATTCATATATATATATATATATATATATATATATATACATATATATACATATATACATATATACATATATACATATATACTGATATTTCAACTAATATTTCTGTGGAATAGAATTTATCACTTTTTGCCACAGTATTCCTGCCCAAATGTGTACAAATGATTTATAAGACACTTATAGGAAAAATTATAGCTCTTCCTGTGCTTCAGAGTAAGCTCCTTGGCCATGAGAGTGCCATCTGTCATGTCTGTGTCACCCCAACAGAGTAGAGAGCACAGCCCACAGATGAGCTTGGGAAATTAATAGGAAAGGAAATGACCACATATTCATCTAAAGCCCTATATTTTCCCTTAAGACCCAGGGAGCAGGTGGTCATGGGTTCTTCTGACTCATTAGCCCATGTTTATTAGATGTCAGCCAAGTCTTTGCATTGTATTCTTGGTTCTGAGATATGGATAGGAAGAGACGGAACGGATGAAATCAGAGCATAAAGCTATCTTTGGCCTAAATGTATTGTTGTAGTTTAAATTGTATGTTCATGCAATATATATAAAATAAAATTTGAAAATTATGACCATTTAGCAGAATCTGAACTCTTCTCTCTACACATACAGCAGTGCATCTCTCAGACACCATCAGAAGAACTTTTGTTTTTGCTAAGCAGATGAAAGTTAAAGCAGAAACTCACAACTGACCAAAGCACAAACAGCAAGTGTTAGTGGAGTGCTCAGTCAAAAATGGGGCACGTATATCAGACCCCCTCTTCAAGGCTCAGGAATCACTATGGAAGAAGAGACAGAAA